GCCAATCCTCCTCTTTTTGCTGAGGAAGACTGGCCCTGAGCTAACATCCATGCCCATCTTCCTCTGCTTTATATGTGGGACGCTTACCACAGCATGGCTTGCCAAGCGGTGCCATGTCTGCACTGGGGATCCGAACCAGTGAACCCGGGGCCGCTGAAGTGGAACGTGCACACTTAAACGCTGTTCCACCGGGCCGGCCCCTGCCAGACATTTTCATTGCTGCCAATCTGATTAGTATACCATGGTGCCATCTTGTTTCAATTAGATTTCCATGATTATTAGGGAGGTTGCATTCTTTTCTTATGTTTATTGGCCACCGAGCTTCCCGTTTCATTTGCACATTTTTTGTATTGCTTCCTCCTTCTCCAGTGGCTTCGCAGGAGTTTGGAAACATATTCTGCCTACCCTCTTCTGTCATTTGCATGCACTGAAAATTCTCCTGGGCTGTGGCTTGCTTTTAAGTTGTATTTCGTCACATGGAAATTCTCAAGTTTAATGTTGTTTTCTTTATTGATTTTCTTTTTTTTTATGGCTGGTCTTTGTATCTTATTTTGAGAACACTTCCCTCTCCTGGGGTCATATAGATAGCATCTTATATGTTTTCCTAAATGTTGTAATGTTTTCTTTCTCACTTGGGTGTTAATCTACTTTGAAGTTATTTCTATGAAAGGCTTGAAGGAGGTCTCTAATTCAATGTTTTTATGTCATGGTTGTCAGTTGTCTTGGAGCAGTTTACTCAGTCACATGTCAAAGATGGCATATATGTGGGTCTGTTTACGGGCCTCTGTGATATTGTTCTCTTTGTCTATCCCTCTGCCAATATCTCAATGTATTAATTTCTATAGCTTTATGAGCAATATTGAGAGCTAATGACCTCCACTTACCTTGTTCATTTTCTACAGAAATTCCTTAACCACTCCTAGATCTTTGCTCTTGCCTTGCTTATAAATTTCAGGATCTACTTAACTTTCACCCAGCCAGTTGAGACTTTGACGGGACCCGCATTGTATTTAAGAATGAATTGGGGAGCCTGGATATTTTTGCACAAATATTTCATATTCAAGATATTATATACTGAATCATTTCATACATAAATGTGGGATAGCATCAGTTTATTTAGGCCTTCTTCAGGATCTTTAAATTTAGTTTTATAAGTTTTCCACAAAAGTCCAACATATCTTTTGCCAAAATTATTCTTAGGTAACATATTGATTTTTTTTGCTAATGTCACCTTTTCTATATTATATTTTCTCACATTTGTTGCTGGTTTATGGGAACACAATTGATTTGTATACTGAGATTCTATCTAACAAACTTGCAGAACTTTCTCTCTATTCTAATTGTTATCTGTAGACGTTCTTAAGTGGTTTTAACTAGAGACAATTTATTGTCTGCAATTAAGTTTGTTTCTTCCTTTTCAACCATTGTTCCCGTGTTGAAGTGTTGATATGTGCATGCTTGTCTTGATCTTCTCTTTCAAGTGAATGTCTCCAACTTTTCATGTTTAAATGTCAAGTTTTTTGTTGATTTCTTTTTTTGTAGCTAGCCTATCGAATTAGGTAAATTCCCTTCCATTACTAGACTAATAGTTAAGAGGATTTTCTCAAAATGAGAAATACATGTTGAATTTTATCAAAGTATATTATATAGCTGTTGAAAGGCTCATTTGGGAGTTTGGCCTATGATTTTTATATTCACTAGAATAACTTTCATAAAATAGGGATTAATTGTGCCTTGAATATTTGGGACAATCTTCCTAGAAAGGAAGGCCTTTTGTCTGCTTCACTTGTTAAGTATTTACTGATTCAGCTTAATGGTTACAAGTGTATTTGGATTTTCATTTCTTCTTGTTAGTTTTCTGAAGCTAAATTTTTTTAGTGAGTTATCTTGCCAAAGGTTGGTCTATTTCATTAATTTTTTTTTTTTTGAGGAAGATTAGCCCTGAGCTAATATCTGCCGCCAATCCACTTTTTGCTGAGGAAGATCGATCTTGAGCTAACATCCATGCCCATCTTCCTCTATTTTATATGTGGGACGCCTGCCACCACGGCTTGATGAGTGGTGTGTATGTCCACACCTGGGATCTGAACTGGTGAACCCCGGGCCGCTGAAGCCGAACACTCGAACTTAACCGCTATGCCACCGGGCTGGCCTCTCATTAAACTTGTTGAATTTATTTAAAATAGCTTTGGTATTGTTGAGTCTTTCTATTGTATCTTTATAGTCTATTTCATGACTATGTCGTATGAACTATGTTATTTCCCTTTGCTCTGCTCCTTTTCAGACTTTTTGAGTTGGACATTTAGCTTGTTAGTTTCAGCCCTTCTTTCCTAATATAAGGACTTAAGGCTAAATTTCTCTGTAGATACTACTTTAGCCTACATTACATAAGTTTTAAATGTTGTATTTTTATACAACATATGAATTTTTCTGATTTCCATTATTTCTTTGTCACGTGTTATTAGAATTGTGGCTTACAATTGACAAATGTGAAGTTTTTAAAATGTTTTCTTTAAAATTATTGATTTGTACCCTCATGGCATGGTAATGATTATTCAGAATTCATTGAGGCTTGCTTTCTGGCCCCAGACTTGCTTAATTTTTGTAAATCTTGCAAGAGCATTTGATATGTCCACTGGAATAACCTTGCGAATTGCTTTTCTCAGGATATCTAAATTCACACTATTTTTTTCTTGTGGATCTATGAATTAGTGAGAGAAATGTGCTCTATCAATGATTGTGGATTTGTCAATTTTCCTTATAATTCTGTAGATTTTTACTTTTTGTATTTTGAAACTATTTTGTTAATTGCATATACATTTATATTTCATAATGAACTGAATCTTTTTTAGATACTGAATATTTTTACTATAAAAGATTTGTTTAAAAATCTGTTTTTCTGATCTTAATATTTGTAAACTAGCTTTATCTTGACTGATATTTGCCTGGTATACTTTTTCCCAATGTGTTATTGTACTTTCTGATAAAATTAGATTTTCTGTATTTCCTTGATTTCTAGCAGTTCTTCTCTTTCTATAATTTTTTCCTTTCTGTCTTCTTTTCCTTTCCGGCCTTCAATTGGATTGGTCAAGTTGTCTTCATTTAATCTTTTTGCCTCTTTACTGTTTTCGAAGATTGCATCTATTGCTAGTCTCTTGCAATTACTATTACTCTCCTTGATATTTTAGCAAGTGTTTAACTTCTAGAGTTAATCAATATTTCCTCTCTTCCCTGGAATCTCACTCTTCTCTCATCTTCTTCTTAGTCACGACTCATCCTCCAAACGTCAGCTCAAACGCCACCTTTTCAATGATGCCTGTCCTGATGCCCCACACTAAACCAGACACCTCTGACCTTGTCTTTCATGGCATTCACCAGAGCTTATGATGACACACTTGTGGGATCAATCATTGATACCTACCTTCCCCAGTAGACTGTAACTCCCAAAAGGGCATGGATTGGCTCTGTGTCGCTCTCATTTTATTCTTTTTTGTTTGGTGAAGAAGATTGGCCCTGAGCTAACATCTGTGCCAATCTTCCTCTATTTTTTATACGTGAGATGCTGCCACAGCCTGACTTGATGAGCAGTGTGGAGGTCCACACCCGGAATCTGAACTGGCAGACCGTGGGCTGCCAAAGTGGGGCACACAAACTTAACCAATTTGCCACCAGGCTGGCCGCTCTCATTTTATTGTTAATGTGCAGCAATCGCCGCGCATGTGCTGTGTAACAAACCTGGCTGAAGGCAGGAAAGCAGAGCAGCAGAGTGGGAGGGAGGGAAAGCGGGAGGGCTGCACAGGTAGTAACGTGGACAGATGAAGCTGCAGGGATGCGGGATGTGGAAGAGCCTATGCCCTCTGTCAGTTAGGAACTACATTCTCCTACTAAACCCGGAACAGAAACAGTGATGGACAAAAGGGAGAGTTCTTTCTTTCTCATGTTATGAAGTCTACGGGTGGCAATCCAGGGCTGACACAGGGGCTCCTTAGGGTCAGCAGTGATTCAGCCTCCTTTTTTCAGCTGTACTGTCCTTGGCTCATGGCTTATATCCCTATGGTTACCTTACAGTCCAGCATGGAGGGTGGAATTTCAACTATCACACTCAAGTTCCAGGAGGAATCCGGAAGTGGGAGGGAAGGGCAAGAAAGATCACGCCCAGATAATTGGTTCTCTCTTCTATAGAGCTTTTCTTGGAATCCCAATGACTTACACCTTATTTGTCACAGCCAAATTCCATGGTCTAACCTAGCTGCAAGAAAGTTTTTTTCCCCCAAGCCTGGCTTATTGTAATTCCAATAAAATCAGGAGCTCTGCGTTATTAAAGATGGTGGGGGGTGCTGTGTGGGGATGGTCACTGAGGTGGAATGCTATAGACTGGGGACCAGTTAGACGGAGACCAGTTAGAGGAGATGTTGGTATTTTGGGTGAGACAAGCTGACATTCTGAATGAAGGTGACAACAATGGGAATGGAGAGAAGGGTCTGAAATGCAATTTGACGGATGGGCTACAGGATCCTTGACAGCTCATCTTCCCACTGATTTGCTGCCAGAGACACTTTGCCTACTGGTTTAATTTCACTTAGTAGATGCTCTTCCCAGTGAACTCAAGGTCATTATGAGTTAATCTCCCCGGTAAATGATGGAATAAACCAAGACAGACTAATTTGTATTTCTAAATCTATGTTGGAAGAAAATTATTTTTGAGAATATATCTCCTAAGGTATTTACTTCCCCCCAAAGCTCTATTTCCAAAGACAGGAATATAGAGGACATTGATTAATAAGTATCAAACATATCTTTTTAAAAAAGTACAGCCTTCTTTGCTTACAGACGCTCAAGATATATACAAGACTCAATGTCAGAAAATAACACTTAGGGAACCATATGGATGCTTTATCTCCATGCCACAAACCATCTGCATGTTCTCTAGGTATTCCAAAAATCTTTTAAACCTAGCATTTTTTCTCCCCAAATCATACTTACAAAAAGATGACTTGAGGTGTTTTGAGCAGACTGATTTTATTTTAAGGAAACTGGGTTGCTAGAAAAATATATCTAGAAATTTAACCATAAAGAGAAGGCAAAATACTTCTAGATTTCTAGAATATTTTGGTCTTCTGGAACACAGCTTGAGTAAAATACAACGTCTTTTATTAATAGGCCGTTACTGAAAGTGAGATGAATTACTAAACTTTTCTAAGAAAAAGTAAGTGAGAACTTTTTGTTGAATACATGCTCTGGTTGTCTCCTGGAGTTCCCGCTGTGGCTCCTAGTGGGTAGACTTTAAGCAGCTGCTCCCTGGAACATGGAGCCATGGAACATGGCTGCGAGGTAGGCAAAGGTGGTTTTCACCTGTGGAGTGAGTTCAAGAGTTCAGAGGTGAGCAGAGCTCACTTGGGTTGGGAGAGGGCCAGGTCGCTCTGTTTCAACCTCTATGGAATAACTGGCAATGGCAAAGCATGTTTCTCTGACAAGACACGAGAAGCTCAAGGCAGCCCTGGATGGACTTGGGTGGAAGCTCAGAATTCAGAGGAGGGGACGTGATGGAGTGTCCAGTGCACAGACTGGCGGAGGGCTGGAGAGTGGGTGCCCACGTGGTTGATCGGGTAACTTCCGTTTAAGGTCCAGGAAGCCGCACTTGGTACCGTGCCCATTTACGCTCTTCTCAGATGTGCCATAACTATTTCCTTCTTATTTTGTCTTACTTTCTGGGCTGCTCTTTTTGAATAAAATTGGCCTGCTCACCTCTGCCAGCTGCTACTAAACGCTAAACGGGGAGTGAGTGTTTCTTGAGGGGGAAAGAACCCTAAAGAGTTTCTGGTGAAGCTCAAGGACTTCGTTAGGGGCTGATGACTCCCTGAACTCTCCCGACTTGGCGATTCTTCATCTGTCAGAATTTGGGGAGGACCACAGCATCACCTGTAGACATCATCACGGGTGTTCCAAACACCTGCAATACATGAACGAAACACAGCACTAGGCAATCTTAGCAAGACATAAAACTGCCTATTTTCTTATCAATGTTTGGCCATGTTAAGAAAAAACTGATGGAGTCGATCAGATGATCTAGCAGTTTTTCCAGTTCTTAAATGCCATGGATCTAAAAGAAGGAAAACAGGAGTAAAAAGAGAACACTCGTGGATGATGATTCTAATGTGTCCCCTGGCTCATTGGTAGGAAAATCCCGTTAAGACGTAAACATCCAGAGGCGCAATTGCTGGACTGAGGTTTTTTATAATATCCTTACAATTTCATCACATTGTAAAGATCACAGAAGTCAAGGTCTCCCTTTAAGGTCACTCCTGACCCCCAGCACCATCTTCCTCTCTTCCAGGTGATGTTCTTGTTGGTGCCCTCCTTGCTCCTCTCATCTGGGGTGGCAGTTTAGTGATGTGGCTGAAATTCACAGGACAAGGGAGGGAGGTAAAGACAAGACAACTGGTTAATTATTTCAGACGCATAAGAGACCCTTCATATTTGTGCACAGAAACTGAGGTGAATCAGGAAATGGATGGCGTTTTTCAAGTCACATAAATCAGCGCCCCAGAATTCATCATTTTCACCAAGTGTGCAGTTGGTTCTCTCACTCTTCTTATGTGCCTGGCTCACTGAAAACTGTTCAGGGAGAGCTAAAATTTTACTTTTAAAAGAAGAGAATGAAACCGTTTTGTTTGGAAATGATCACCTCTAGTTTTGCAATGTGATGAGAAGAAGCTTAACGCAGAAAGTTCTTTAATAAGCAAAGACTTTTCAGAGAAACAACTCCAGACATTTCATTCGGAAAAAGGAAACACCTGTGGATTCTTTAAAAAAATTTTCTTTGTGGAGAGCCTACTTCTCTGCTGGGCTGTGGGTGAGTAAGTTACTGACATCACCTCCTTTCTTCTTTAACACTTACAAAGGACATACCTGCCAGCAGGTTTGTGTGAGCTCCAGATGAACAGATGGGGGCTCAGAAAATTTAAGGAACGCTTCCCCAGGTCACAAAATGAAATCACAACCTCAATTTAGGTCTATTTCACTGTAAACTAAGGATTCGTTTTAAACTATAATTTGGTTTCTTCCTCTTCTTTTTGCTTATCAATAATCTATTTGTAATTTATTATCAGTGAATATACATATTTTAATAATGCTTCTAGGTAGCCTGTAAACCACCTGTAAAATTGACCCCCCCCATAAAGTTACATAATTTACTGAGTAAACACTAAGTTATCAGCCCTCCTGCGTTATGGTGTAGAAAGCCATTTTCTTCCCACTGCTTAGCTCTCTACATGCCAAGAATGTTTTTTCTTAAGCGTACATGCCTTTAAACTGCAATGTTGAGGGGCAAGGACAAGCACTCGCTAAACACCTTTGGGTCCTAATTTCTGTCTCCCTTTGCCCTAATGGCTGGAGGCTCCGCAGGTCCACGCACCCACCCACCCAAGGGCTGCAAGATTCAAGCGTAAGGCAGCATCCTCCCTGACGCCCCACCTCCTAGGAGCAGAGCAGCAGGGCTAGACCTCGGCCAGCCTCTTCCTCCCAGGGAGCGCTCCCAGGCCTCTGTGCCACGTAGGCAAGAGAATCGGAATGTCAGGAATGGAGCTAGTGTCCCACGTGCCAAGCACAGAACAGAGAAGTGTTAAGCTTTTCGTTAAAGCCCCAGGAACTAGGCAGCTGCCCAGCACCAGGCTGAGTGCCCCCACCACAACCCAGGGAAGAACGCTTCTCAAAGAGGCCTGCCCAGCTCCTGACATTTCCTTCCGGACGTCTTAAAGGAAATCCGAGTGAGGGCTTGATTACCCCAAGCAGCTGTATCACCAGTGTGAGGGAGAGACTGGAGGGTACGGGCTGGGCTGAGCTTTCACGGAGAATTGCAGAATTGTTTTCACTTAATTATTTTACTAAAAAAATATTTCTAGAAAATAAAGACAACTCAATGTCAATTTGTCTTTCGATTGTCCTTCTCTTGGATCTGCGTGGCTACTGTGTGAGCCATGACACCGTCCAGCCAGGGAGGGGTTCTTAGTTTTAACGATGAACTGAACAGCAAAACTAGGGGCGCACTCGGCCATTCCCAGGATCGCGAATCCCAAGAATCTGCCACAGGCTCTGGAGGGGTTGTGTGAACGTGGGCCACGCGGCATCCTATGTCATTGCGGCAAAGGAGGGCAGTGGTGGGGGCCTTCATGCGCTTCCTTATGCAAGGGAAACTTTACAGCCACCCTGGGACGCCAAGATGGAGAAAAAAAGGGCCCAGAGAGACTGTCCCCCACCCCCATCCAGAAGGAAAAGGTCACGCGCGGCCCTTCAGGGTACTGAATGGAAGTTTTGCAACAAAGCATCAAATTCTAGGAGTCCGGAGAGGCACTTTGCTTTCCAATTACCAGTCTTTTCGCCTGAGTACTAGGTCGATAAAGCCGAAAGATCTCGCCGAAGCGCAACAAGTAACATCTGTCCCAGAACTGGATGAGTTGACCTTGTCCATCCGGGGACTCCTCTCTTAACGCTGAACGTGGCTACTCCGGGACCCCCTGACCTGCCTCTCCGGTTCGTAGGATTTGTTCATTTCTCTAAGTTTACTTCGCCGGAATCGACCCGAGGGAGCCAAGAGGCGCACCCTCAAACCGCTCCTCCAAGAACCCGCAGCAACTCTCCGAGTCTTTAAGGAGTTTCCAGCTAGCGCACGCATGAGGATGTCACACGAAAAGAACAAAATCACAACCTCGGAGTCCGCGAGGCGCCGGCGGCCCCTGCCCACCCCGCTCCCCACGGCTGCATTCGGCCGGGGGACGCGCACGTACCTGGAGCCGAGGCCGGCAGAGTGGGCGCGCCACGTCTCGGATCCCGGCCCCCGCTGCCTCTGGTCCTTTATACCGCGCCCCCGCCCCTCCAGCAGCCACGTCTGAGCGGCGGGACGGGGGGCGGGGGAGCCACAGAAGGTCCCCGGGAGGCGAGGGAAGGGAGTCCCTGAAAGTCAATACTCGGGCGCACTCGCACTAGGGACGCAGGAGTGGGGCTCTTGGGGTGCAGGGGGACGCCCTGGGCGCCGAGGGGGGCGCGTCTGGGGAAGTGGGAGGGGCCCAGGGAGGTCGGGCGCGGGGTGGGGCGCTCGGGTTTCACCCAGGCCAGGAGGGGGAGGAGGAGGCGCGGCGGCGGGGGCGGGGCCGGGGCGGGGCGAGGGCGGGGCGAGGCGGCCCCGCGCTCCCTGCCCGCGCGCCCCGCTCCACTCTACTCGCCGGGAAGGCGGCGCCGGCGGCTGCTGCTCTTGCTGCGCCCGCTCCTGCGCGCTGCCCTCCCGCCGCGGGTGGGCTCCGCAGCCTCCGGCCCGCGGCGGCCCTCACCCTCCACCGGGGCAGTGCAGCCCGTGCGGCCCATCCCGGGGGCTCCCTTCTCCCTCCCGCAGCTCCTCTGCGGAACCGGCTCGGGCGCCCAACTTTGCCTCTTCGCCTGTCGCCCCTGCTGGGCGCGAACCTGTTCACCCCAGTCCGGCCGCGCGCCTAGGGACCGTGCGCCTGGCGCTCAAGCCGGTGTCCTCAGCCCTGAGCGCAGGGAGTGTGGGGTGGCTCTGGGGACGTAGCAGGGGGCGGCGGCGGCTGCTGCCTTGACTTCTCTTGCCGGGCGCTGAAGAGGACCCTTAGAGCCGCTCCGGGGCCCCAGGCGCTGGATGACTGGCACGAGGAGCGCGCCTCGCACCTGGTGAGCGAACCCCCTACCCCGTCCCCGGGTGGCCGTGGCCGCAGCTCCGACCGTGCCGCGTTGCTGGCCGGGACCGGGGGGCTGCAGTGGTCGGCGGGTGGGTTGTGTCGATCTCGGGCAGGGTCCATCTGCAGGCACTGGGCGGGGGACAGCCGATGGTTGCGCGTACAGAATTAAGACCACCATCAGTGCGGGGGCGCCCACACTTGAGCTAGTGCACGGGTTGGAAGTTTGTGTCCCTGCTTTTCCCGAGGTCTGAGCGTGCAGAGGTAAGGAGCAGAAGTGACCCGGTGGGCGACTGGGCAGTGGGAGAGTCGGGACCCCTACCCAACACCTCCGGAAGGTGCGCGGTGGAGGTCTGTGCATGCACCCGGCGCGCGGCCAGGCTCGCATCGTCGCGGGTAAGGGGCGGGGGTCCTGGTGCTCCGGGCTTCGCAGTCCCGTAGCAGTTGCTTCACAGATCTTCCGATCTCGCAGCCCCGCGCGCTGGGGCAGGTTTTTCTCTGTGAGTTACAGAGGTTTTGCTGCGCGCGTGAGAAACCGGGAGGTAGTGGGACTTGGGCTCAACTCCGCCAAGCGCCTTGGTTAATGAGGGAGACAGGCTGGGGACCCCCCTGAACCCCGCGGCCGAGGATGCAGAGGCCTGGGGAACCCGATGGGCTGCAGCCAGGCGAGCCCTTTCCGCGGGCATCTCCCCGCCGCTCCACGGATTTTGCATTCCCTAGCTCTGGGTTTCGGGGCCGGAGGTAGATCTGGGCCCCAGAAGGGAACCGACGCGGAGGAGTGATGGCCCCGGGATCACTCCCTGCGGCGCCCAGTGCCCGGCCTAGAACAGTCAGATCCCGATTCCCGGGGCTTTGGCGGGAAGCGAGTTTCGCTCCTCGCCCTTTCCTGGCTTTTGTACCTGGATGCGGCTGCTGCGAGTTGGGATTTAACTTTCCTGCGCCTACGGCGTCCCAGGGATCCCCGGCAGGGGGCGCTCAGAGCGAGCGCTGGAAGTGGGAGAGAGGCTGCTAGCAGCAGTTACCCTCTCCTGGGTGAGTGGGTGGGGGTCCTAGTCAGCAAACAGCAGGACCAGGCAGATCTTGGCAATAATTTCATTGGGATGGAGGGTGGGAGTAGCTGATCTGTTGACCAGAGGGAGCTGTCAGGCTTGCAAGAAAGGTGGTTGCCAACACACAAGTCCTCTAAATAGAAAGGTTCCTTCCAGAGACAAACGTATCCCAGCAAACTATTCCAGTCTGTTCATCTGTCTTCCTCCCTGTGACTATTGTATTTACTCAGAAAGAAATGGAAATCGAGGGAGGATACTGGGAGTTATGTTTAAGAATGACGTACAAGTTCTGCTCCTCAGGAGCACATTAGTTACAATGCCAGGAGTTACAAATGATTGTTGCATCTTGATTTTAAGAGAAACAGTCGTATGTCACCGTTAGCTTATCCAGAAGAGCTCTGTCATAATGGCCAGCAGATATGTTGTTAATTATAGAGTTAATCTTTCCTAAGGAGACACAGAGGGAGAAAAAGAGATTTTTACCAGGGAAGATTTTTAATGCTTAATTAGGCTTGCTAAATTAATTGCTAATTAATGCCAGTTTCATTATTGAAGAGAGGGTAAAGTTTATCATGCACTATTTTTGTTGTTGTTGTTGAGGAAGATTGGCCCTGAGCTAACATGTGTACCGATCTTCCTCTGTTTTTTTATATGTGGGACACTGCCACAGCGTGGCTTGATGAGCAGTGTGTAGATCCCTGCCCAGGATCTGAACCCATGAACCCTGGGTGGCCAAGCAGAGCCAGTGAACTTAACCACTAGGCCACCAGGCTGGCCCCTATCAAGCACTATTTTAAGTTACCAGTTCACAATTTCAGTTAAAGCAGAGAATGTCTTAAGTTGTATATCACCTAAATAACTCTTCTTATCTATGCCTGTGTTTACCCCAAAGGAAACATGGATTTTTTTACCCCCCCCCAAAGATTTTTGTCCATGTTTGTTTTTAATGAAAAAGCAGTCTGAAATGTAATTGTTTGGGCAACTTGAAACACAGATTTCTTTTTCCTTGAGTTTCTTTCTTGTAAAAGCTTGGCCCTGAAGTAACAACTCCTCTGCAGTGTTGTGTGGTGACACTCGTCATCTGCATACTCATGGAACCACGGGTGATGAATGGTACCTGTGTGTACATGCTTTCAGCCTTTAAGGACTTTTCTTAACAGGGAGAATATGGACGTGGCAAATCATTTTCTGCCTTTTGTGAATTGCTCTAACTTATTTGGTTGTTTTAATGACAAACAGCTGCAAGATCCCTGCTGAGAGCAAAGACTTTGGTCTCCTGGGTGGTAAAGCTTGTGTCTGTCCAAAAGAAGTTGCTGAGATGTTCAAAACTGGTAAAAATAATCCTGTGTTCTTCGCTGCCATTTCCTTTTAAAAGGATTTCTTCACACGTCTGGACAGAGTGAAACAGAAACACATAGCGCAGTGGCTGGTAAAAGTTCTTGGTAACGGGACCATAGTGAATATATATGCACATTCGTGCTAACTTTTGCTTAAGTTTTAGAGGATTCATAGACGTTCTGAAGCCCCTTCCATGGCTTTGCCATGAGAAATCTTTCTTCATAGTCTTCTCAGGGACAAATGTTAAAACCAATAAACTTTTCTCTATACCAATTGCTCAAAATAACAGATGCCACTCCTTGAGACTATGTCAAATGCTAATAACGTTAGAGCTGTTTAACTGAGTCACTGCATAGTTTTTATAAACTTGGTGATTGTTTTTAATGAACCCAAATATCCTTTTCTGTCTGGTTATAAAGTCATGGAAATGGAGACTTTGCTTCTGGTACAAATACAGGAAAGTGAGGGAGAGGGGAACAGATTTTGCTAAATATCCAGGCAAAGGTATCAAGGTGCTCCATTCTGTAAGCAGGCAGCCGTGAACTCTAGGGTTAACTAAGATTAGACACTAATCCCAAAGGAGAGGTTTGGATCACAAATCATGGAGTTTGCAAGATAGAACAAATTAATTAGTTTATGATATATCTAAGTCAAGGAATCCATTTTTGAAGTAGTACACGTAGGAGTATTTGAGCAAAGTAGTTCCACATCCTGCAGTAAATCCTCTGTAATTCTTGATTCTAAAATTATACCAAATTTGTATTTAAAAATGCTTCTGAAATTGTTGCTATAGTTACCCAGACAAATTGCTTAAGGTATAATTATAACACCAATGTTAATGTTTTTATGTTTATGTTTAATGTTAAATAATTTTTATGTTTAATGTTAAATAATTTTTAAACTGTAAATTGCCATGTCTAACAAATTGAGTTACACCAAAGTGCGAAGTGTGTAATCTGGAACCTTGTAGGTTTCTGTCCACCTGCGGCCGTTTGAAAATTTATGCAGAGAAGGTGAACTATTTTCTGCAGTCCTAAGATGAGTATATGTAAGTGCTTTGTTTATACTGTCCTTGAGTACTGTTGTTGACGACATGGACATTTTCATGTATGTTCCCAGCAACCTTTTTAAATTGAGATGCAGAAATTTTGTTGAACATTACTGGGTTTTATCACTCTGTTTCCTGCCTTGTAGAAGTGGCCTGCCATAGATAGGGGGCAGTCTGCTGTCTAATTCCTGCACATGTTGGTAGGGTCCTAAAGATAAATTCAACAGGTGAGAAGTAGCTTGTTGGAAAGTAGCACTTCGAAGAGGCAGCTTTTGGTATTCTTGGTAAATATCTTGCTTTTTTCTTTGATGAATTTGTATGGTATGGGTTATCTAGATATATAGAATCAATCAGTTTCTAACAGCAAGAAAAACAATTACAGTAAGCTAGAATATACATAGATAAGCTTTTCACTTTCAATGAATCTAACTGAAACTTGTTTTAATTCAGAATTTAAGCCAAACAGAACAAAGCAAATTAAGACTTGATCCAAGGGAAAGTGGTGTATAATAAGTAATTTGTTATAACATAGTGGCATTGACAGAATTAATCTTTGCTGTCTAAAAGGTTCTAGAGCTAAGGAGACCTGGCTCCGAATTTTATGGAGTATTTTGAAGCCAGGCAACTTCAAAGACAACTTATATTTCACCCGGGGCGTGACATTTAAAATAGATTTAACCCAACAGTAGGCTCAAGAAAATAGAAAATTTTCCCAAAGGATTTGCTATTGTCGTCTTTTCCTTTTTTTTAGTCCAAGGTTAATGGTTGTTTGACGAGAGCAAAGATGAACACACTTTATTTTCCTTTCCTAAGTTTTAAAATATGTTGGCATAGTACTGTTTGGATTTGGAAAAAATAAAATTCTGTTCTTTACTCTTTTTGCCACGTACACTAGAATTGGTTTCCTGATTAATATTGAAAAACACTGTATTTCAAAAAAGA